TAATTTGCCGTGTAGTGGCGGTTGAGAATATCCACTACCCCATATCTTCCCGTGGGTGTCGTAAGAGGCGACAGAAGGAGACAGGCAGGAGATGGGCAGCAGCACCTTCCTGATAACAACAGTGATATAATAAAAAACTGCGGTTGCCAACCCGCTCGCCAAGCGTGGCAACTATGGCAAATATCCCCCCATGAATAACGACGCAAACAAACGGCCCCCAGTCCCCGGCGGCCCCGCTATTCCTGGCTACGGTGGCGACCATAGTAACGGCGGGGCAGGGGGTGCTAAGAATCTCCAGTGGAGGTTCGGTTACCACCTACGACGATTCGACCTGGCAACATATAACGCACGCACCCTGAGGACCGACGAGAAGATACTGGAGCTGGAAGAAGAGGTAGACAAGTTGCGCTGGCATATTATTGGATTATCCGAGGTCTGAAGAGAGGGGGAGGACATGGTAATCCTCGAGTCCGGCAACTTGTTCTATCACCGGGAGGGCGACCATCTGTCCCAAAGAGGTGTCGGATTTATCGTCCACAAGTCTCTCGTCAACAACGTTGTAAAGATTGAGAGTGTGTCGACGAGGGTCGCGTACCTGATACTCAGAATCACCAAACGGTATTCGCTGAAGGTCATACAGGTTTACGCGCCAACCTTGGCACATCCCGATGAGGAGGTGGAGGAAATGTATGAGGATATTACCAGAGCCATGCATTCCTCCAAAACCCACTACACTGTGGAGACTTCAACGCAAAACTAGGCACTAGAGAAAGCGGTGAGTTGAAGTTAGGGAAATTTACTAAGAAACATTGACTTCATTATGACGACCAGACGCCAACTGTTCAGTGATGTCTCAGTGATCGCAAGGGTGAAGACTGGCAGCGATCACCAAATGGTTAGAGGCACGCTGAACCTAAACGTTAAGTTGGAGAGGTCTCGTCTAATGAAGTTAACGCTCCGTCCCCCTCGTGCTCTAATCCAGAATCCCGAAACCTTTCAGCTCAAGTTACGTAACCGCTTTCAGTGCCTAGAAGATTGCAATGCAGTGGACGATATGAATGACAAGCTCGTGGAAACTGTTCATGGGGTCGGAGCTAAGTTCTGCAAGACCCGCCGCAGAAGAACACAAAAACTCTCCGATCACACTCTTAATCTCATGGCTGAGATGAGGCTGCGTCGTCAACAGATTTGACAGCATACAGGCAACTGAACAGACAGATCTCCAAATGCAAAGAAGCAATCGAGCGGAACCAGGGCTCCAAGGTCTTTGCCAGAGATCTGTCTGCCAGAAAGAACCAACTGTCAAAGCTGAGGACTGAATGTGGCAGTATCGTTTCCGGCACACCTGAGATTTTGAGTGAGATTGAGAGGTTCTATGGGCAGCTGTACACATCATCGTTGGAGCCACACGCAAGTGTGAGTAACGATTCAAGAGCAAGTCTTGTCCGACACTATTCCGATGATATCCCGGACGTCAGTCTGAGCGAGATTAAAATGGCTCTCCAGCACCTTAAAAACGCCAGGGCCCCAGGCGAGGATGGAATTACAGCGGAGCTTCTGAAAGCGGGTGAAACACCGGTACTTGAAGTCCTTCAGAAGCTCTTCAATTCCGTCCTCCATGGTGGCACTACTCCGGAGGCGTTGAGGAGAAGTGCGGTGGTCTTGTTCTTAAAGAAAGGCGACAATGCTTTCTTGAAGAACTACAGACCGATTTCCCTTCTGAGCTGCGGCCACGTGCTGTTTTTGAGTCATTACGAATCGTCTCGCACGCAGACTCGACGACTTCCAGCTTCCCGAACAAGCCGGTTTCCGAAAAGGCTTCAGTACCATAGACCATATACATACCCTGTGGCAGATTGTACAGAATACCGTAGAGTATAATCTGTCACTTTGCCTGGCTTGTGTGGACTATGAGAAAGCCTTTGATTCCGTCGAAATTTGGGCGGTGCTACAGTCCCTTCAGCGGTGCCAAGTTGACTGTCGATATATCGAAGTGCTGAAGTGTTTGTACAGTAGGGCTACGATGGCTATCCAAGTACAGAACCAGAGTTTGAAACCTATCCAACTGCAGAGAGGTGTAAGGCAGAGTGACGTTATATCCCCGAAACTCTTTACCGCTGCGTCGGAAGACGTTTTCAAGCTACTGGACTGGAAAGGATACGGTATTAACATCAATGGTGAGTACATCACTCACCGTCGATTTGCCGACGATATAGTCCTTATGGTAGAATCGCTGGAGGACATTAGCTATATGCTCAATGACCTCAATGGTGTCTCCCAACGGATAGGTCTTAAGATGAACATGGACAAAACAAAGATCATGTTTAATGTCCATGTCACACCTATGCCGGTAGTTGTTGGGAGCACTAAGCTCGAAGTTGTTGACGAGTACGTTTACCTGGGACAAATAGTCCGACTAGGTAAGTCCAACTTCGACCGAGAGGTCAATCGACGGATTCAACTCGGCTGGGCAGCGTTCGGGAAATTACGACACATCTTCTCGTCAGGTATACCTCAATCTCTGAAAACTAAAGTATACAACCAGTGCGTGTTGCCAGTGATGACTTACGGATCTGAGACGTGGTCCTTCAGTGCTGGCCGTATGAGGATGCTCAAGGTCGCTCAGCGAGCTATGGAGAGGGCTATGCTCGGAGTTTCTCTGCGTGATAGACTTAGAAATGAGGATATCCGCAGTAAAAAAAACCAGAGTGGCCGACATATCCCGACGGATTAGTAAGCTGAAGTGGCAATGGGCCGGCCATATAGCTCGAAGAACCGATAACCGATGGGGAAGAAAGGTTCTCGAGTGGCAGCCTCGTACCGGTAGGCGTAGTGTAGGGTGACCCACCACTAGAAGGAGTGACGACCTGGTAAGACATGCAGGAAGTCGATGGATGCAGGTGGCTCAGGACCGTGCTTTGTGGCCTTACATGGGGGAGGCCTATGTTCAGCAGTGGACTTGTGAAGGGCTGTAATGATGATGAATGACGAAGAATCAAAATGCAGATGCGTTGTCACCCTTGAGGACAAAGATAGATTGCCTCGTTTCCAGTAAAAAGGATCTCCGGTTTTCTACAATCACCATACGAAACACAGTAGCGTTAAGCTGCTATTTTACGCTGATATTCTGTAAGAGCGTGGTCCTTCCCCGGTCGAGCCGACCCATTTGTGCTACAACCATGATATAGCTGCAGCGTGGCTCTACCACGTACAAGCGGCCGGCCCATTGCCACTTCAGCTTACTAATTGTGCTATGTCGGTTACTCTGGTACTACTGCGGATATCCTGATTCTTAAGTATATCACGCTGAGAAACCCAAAGCAAAGCACTCTCCATATCTCGCGGAGCGACCTTAAGCTTCCTCATACGGCCAGTAGTGAAGGACTACGTCTCAGATCCATAAGTCATCACTGGTAAGTTTTCATACACAGTCAGTTCACTAGTTTGGATGCCGTGTAGTTTTGCAGTCGATGGATGCCCGTGGCTCAAGAGCATGCTTTGTCGCATTCTTTGAGGAGGCCTATGTTCAGCCTTGAACTTGTGAAGGGATGTAAGGGATGTAATGAATGAGTGAAGATATAATATTTACTGGGTAGTATTGAAAACCAATTTTAATTATCATTGAATTTAATTGAAAATTACTTGAAACATCTGTGAAAGTATACTCTCATTGCTTTGTGATTGAAAAAAATACCAAGTTATTTTAAAACATAGTATTACAAAAAAATTGCCTTCCTCCTTTCTTGAAGCTGGTTAAAAAACACAGTTATCGTTGATCAATGTTAACATAGATAAAAGTAAATGCTGTTAGTGTACTCGTAAATAGTACATTTCTAGAACAAAACTTTATACAACTAAGATTTACAAAATACACGATGCATTTCGAAGCTTCTAAACTGACGCTTCTGTGGACAGAAGTATTAGTCGAATTTAACGACACCCACGGGGAGAAAGTTATTACGTTGATACATTATTTTAGGCCGCAAATGCATGATAATTTTAAGAATTTTTCATTCACTCGTATATAACAGTTTATCAAAAGTGTACTGCTGAAGATAGATTCCTCTGTTAGACTACCTTATAGTTGCTACGTTAGTCGTTCACTATTGGCCGTATGGGAAAGCTCAAGGTCGCTATGTGAGTTATGGAAAGGGCTATGCTTGGGGTTTCTCTGCGTGATAAACTAAGAAAAGAGGATTTCTGCTATATAACCAGATTAAACGACATAGCCCAACGTATCGGTAAGCTGAAGTGGCAATGGGTCGATTATATAGCTCAGAGAATTGACAACCGATGGGGAAGAAAGGCTTTGTAGTGGCAGCCTCGTAACGGTGGGTGGTGTGGGGCAACCGCCAACTAGGTAGAGTGACGACCTGGTGATACATGTGGGAAGTCGATGAATACAGGTAGCTCGGGGTCCTATGTTCAACAGTTAACATGCGAGGGGCTGTATTGATGATGATAATAATGATAGTTGCTACATTTTGCCAGCAGGCTTGCAACTGCATTAATTTTTTTATAGGATAGTGTGATAAACGAGCACACAGTCCACCTGATGGTAAGTGGTTGCTGCGGCCCATAGACATCTACATCTATCCTCGATTACAAATCAAAGTGCAGATGCGTTGTCACCCGTGAGGACTAATATGGAATGCCTCGTTTCCAGTAAAAAGAGTCTCCGGTTTTATACGCTCACCATACGAAATACAGTAGCATTAAGCTACTTTTTTACGCTAGTATTCTGTGAGAGCGTGTTACTTCTCCGGTACTAATATAACTGCAGCATGGCTCTACCGCATATAAAATTATATAATAATTAATAATTTTAGTTTTTATTAGGAAGATGCTGCTGCAGATCTCTTGTTTCATCTCCCTCCGCCGCTTCTTCCAACACTCACGGAATGCTACACTAACTTATAAGTAGCTCACTGCTACTATCTTGATCAAGACGGGGCGAATCGCCAGAATCTTAATAAAATTACTGATTTAATAGTAGTTACCTCTAAGAAAGTCTAAGTGGGTATTCACCACCTCGTCAGGATGTGTATGAAGAAAGCGGGCACTCCACAACGGGTCTCCATCTATGATGTGACCCACGTGGCAAGACAGCTGCGTAGAAAATCCTCCATCCAGCACGACGATGTGTGGCGGCTCGACACCATCACCATTAGTCGGCGTCATAACTTATGAATCTATAAATAAAAAAGCTAAGCAATTTATTTCTGGGCGATGATGAGAATATCGTTACTGATTTTGTAAATACATATAGCCATTGGGCGCAATGCATGCGCAAATAAAAGTCAGCTGCCGCAATTTGTAATTACGCGATTTTCGTATATCTTTTGTGCCCGTCGGCATTTAGGTTTGGTAAGATGATAAAAGCTCCAAAAGGTAAAAAATAAAAAAGTTTTATTATGTTCATAATCAAAAAATATTTGTATGTCTTCACAATACTTGCGAGAATGTATGGTAGTTGCAGTATTAGTGTGGGTATATTAATTATCAATTTGTGCATGTTGTATGAGTGTTGGTGTATGTATGTGTAGGTTTATGATCATTTAGTTTCTGTATTATTAAATATCTCTATTTCTTCATAATTAAAGAGCCCTCTTACATTTCGGCTTTATGCAAACTTACACCAGTGTTCACCCTAAAAGTAGGAAAGTAAGAAGTAACAGAAGTAACACTCCACTAAGTACATGACTGACGTCTAGACCGGGACCATTCCTTGGGGTCCATAATCTTAGTCGTCAACCACTAATTACAAATAGATTTATATCAATTTTATCTACTAAAAAGTTGAGGTATTGACATAATCGCCACGTGGCGTATTTTTTTTAAATATTTTGAGGTGTTATCATTGTTATCTGGAAGATGCTGTTGTCCACGCCCTGTTTCAGTTTCCCTCTGTCTCGCATACATCATCGATGGGACGACGTGGGGTAATGGACTTTTTTACAGCTCCACTACCACAGAAATTACGATTTCCGTGACCACTACACTAACTGAATTAAGACAGGCGCCATTTTATTCAGAAATTAGACTGCCAGCGAATTAGAATGAAGAAATGAGTTTATAGAATATACTATATTGTAGACAAAAAGAGATAAGAAACAACAAATTATTTAAAGGCACCATCGGCGGCCTTGAGCTTAAAGGAGTAAACAAGTAAGTGAAATAAGAGCCTTAACGGAAGGAAAACTAGGTAATAAGGTTTAAATGAACGACGTTAAGGAGAGATAAAGGAATGACTGTTTGACAGAGCGAATTTGTTAACCTTTAATATGAAAGCCTCTACTTTTATAGAAATATTTATTAAAGGAAAGTTTCTAACGTTTTTGTCTTATAACTTCTAAGCCAAAATAACTTAAATAATGATTTAATTAACTTTATTTGACATTAATTTATAAATTACATTACCCTAGTTGGAAACAAACACTTTAATGGTTTTTGTTGAAAACTAAAAGAAAAACTCTAACAACAAGTCGACCGTAAATGTAAAGTTTTCCATCCCTTAGTTAATATGGCGGCGATGATCACTCTTCTTCAAGTACGCCGGTGGGCTTTTTAGCTGCTTATTAACAATACATATTTAAAAGCTTCTATATAAGTCTTTCAAAAGAATTTTTTCTATAGAAATGAGGCAACTGACTACATTAAATATTCTTTTGAGGTAATGGTACGTTTCAGAAAAAAAAAACTTTTGTAATGAACTTATCTGCACGCCGCTGATCCAACAAAACGATTTCTTTAATTTACAATTTTTTCAATGAAAAATAAAATTTATTAACACAGCAAATACAAAAATTATTCATAACTAAATTTACATTTTCTTTTTTACTGTAAATTTAATTGTGAGTGTATTGTTTTAGTTCAATATTGACCGAGTTGAAATTTTCGCTTGAGCTGAAAAGTAAGTAGAGCCTTTACATTTTATACTCATTGTTCCGTTTTACACTTTATCTACTACCTAGTCACGTCTAAAATCGGTCTTAAAAGCCAAGAGTTTGCAGTCGCTTTTTAAAAATAAAATAAAATTGAAACAGATAGAATTTTCGGAAAGATTTTTGATATAAAATCAAAATTTTAAAATCGGATGCGATTCGCTATATCCTTACTTTCAATTCTCTATTTGATGACCAATTCTTAGTTCGATTTTTGTTTTTTTAAACTAATCTATTACTAAACTAGTGAATAAACTGTTTCTTCGTAGCATCATATTCGAATGTGGAGATATTTAAAAATATTGCACTTATTAAAACAATAGCTATATGAAGAATTAATTTATCCAATTTAACGATCTCTTGAATTTGGAGATTTATTGAAAATACGCCTACTTAAACGAAATTGAGCCTGTCATAACTCATAACCTTTACCTGCTCCTGCTCTTTGAAAATCCATTTAATCTAATAGCGCTTTCCCCTTGTTTGTGGTAAAGAAGAGTTTGAGTTAATTAACGCCGTATATTAAGCTTACATTAGTCAGCGTACTTGGTCTTATTATGGATGAAATGGTTATTTGTTAAGGCTGAGGGTGTATGTTTAAAAGAATAATTTTAAATGATATTAGAAATTAATAAAATAGTTATAAAATTATTTATCAATTCCTCGCAAAATAAAGTGATGATGTCTTATTGAGATTTGGCAAATAAACAGTGGTGGAGCCACGTGTTTAAGGCTGCCGAAAATCTAGTTCCCCGGTCAAACCTCAAACCTATTACGCGAGATATTAACTAAAGTGGACTGTATATGCGATTGCTTCTATGCTTATGTGAAGCGACTACTATAGCATGCGGTACAATGCACTCGCTCTTCCCTAAACTAAACTATTACTTGTCGAATCGATGAAAGGAATCCTGCTCGAAGGACCACATAAAATGCTGGAGCCACGTGTTTAAGGCTGCCGAAAATCTAGTTCCCCGGTCAAACCTCAAACCTATTACGCGAGATATTAACTAAAGTGGACTGTATATGCGATTGCTTCTATGCTTATGTGAAGCGACTACTATAGCATGCGGTACAATGCACTCGCTCTTCCCTAAACTAAACTATTACTTGTCGAATCGATGAAAGGAATCCTGCTTGACTAGGAAAAAAACACAAATTGGAGCGGGTTAAATTATTAGCAAGCAGGTATAATTAAGGAGTATTGACTCACCGGGGTTTCTTCTTCCTGTCGATCACTATAGCGACTTCTGGAACACTCCGGAGAGGGGCGGTGCGCGACGATATCTCACACGAGGTGAGGCGGGTTCCTGGAGCTCGACTGCTTCCAGGCCAAAGCGGTTTCCACTAGTGAGGTGTTTCCAAACGAGCGCGCGGGAAGAGGAGGTTGTAGTTCAACGACGACTGCGGCGGGAGAAGAGAGCGCGCGTCGGTCGCGCGTGTCTTATATATCCTCGGGTCCGATGATTACGCGATGTTCTAGAATCGTCTTCTTTCCCCTCCCACCCCACCACCCCGATGTGTCGATAGGAGGGTACGAATGATATTGTTTCGGAAGGGAATAATGATTCGACAAATTCCTACCGTCAAAAATAAAAAACGCGAATGGTTTTCCGCGCAACCATCTCCCCCCGCCCTTGAAGGATTTCCTTCAAAAAAAATAACTAAACAACTAGAGCTAAGATCGACTAACAAATAACTAACTAACGCTAAGATTACCTAAATTAAACTACAATTTCAGTCTAAAAAGCTAATTTAAATTATGGAAGAGGCAAGGGGCACAAACGGATAACCGGACGTAGGTAAGACCCAACCGTGGTCTTAACGCGAGCTATCCTAATTACTCCGTCGGAACCGGGAAAGACCTCCTCGACGATTCCTAACGGCCAGTGGAGAGGCGGCGTATTCTCCTTAGTGAGCACAACTACGGTTCCTACAGCTAAAGGCTCTGTCGCTGTGTTCCATTTTTGCCGAGACTGCAAAGTATGCAAGTATTCCATCCTCCATCGTTTCCAAAACGATTGCACTAACCGATCTAATAATTTGTGGCGTGTGGAAATGTTAAGTCTGTTCTCATCCATATCCGCGGCGGGCAGATACCTTAGAGGCGTTAAAGTTAAAAAATGTGCTGGAGTTAGAGCCAGCGGTTCCGAGGGGTCACTAGATAACGTCCGACAAAGTGGGCGGCTATTCATTACGCATTCAATTTGAGCGAGCACCGTGCTTAGCTCTTCGAAGGACAAAATTTGATCTCCTATTACTCGGTATAAGTGGCTCTTTAGACTTTTAATATTAGTCTCCCAATTGCCCCCAAAATGACTCGCGGCTGGGACGTTCAGAGACCACTCAATGCGGTTCTCGGCTAGAATGTGAGCGAACTCCGAATTATAATACTTGCTAGCTAAGAGCTCATGTAGTTCCGATAGAATACGTTTTGCACCGACGTAGTTCGTACCGTTATCCGAATATAATCTACTTACAGGGCCTCTGCGCGATAGAAATCTTTTAAATGCACCCATAAAGCCTGCTGTGCTTAGATCACCAACGAGTTCTATATGTACTGCTCGAGTAGTTAGACATACGAAAATGCAGAAGTAAGCCTTTGTGGATCTTATACCACGCCCGCGAGTGAGCGTGACCTTAAACGGACCAGCAAAATCAGACCCGGTGTGCGTGAAGGGCTTTACCGATTGTATCACTCTACAAGATCTAAGTTCCGCCATTTCCGGAAATGACGGCTTGGGGCGTGCCCGAAAGCAAGCTATACATCTGTGCACCCGATTGCGTATTAAACTACGTGCAGAAAGAATCCAATAATTCTGGCGCAAGATCGACATCAATAAATCGGGGCCAGCGTGCGAGTTCAATTTATGATGATAATCGACTAATAAGTTCATGATATGGTCTTTACGCGGTAAAACTATAGGGTGCCGTTGATCGAAACTCAATTGCGAGTTGGACAAGCGTCCACCTACCCTTACAATCCCATCCTGTAAAAATGGCTTAAGGCGTTGAAAGGCGCGACTACAAGCTCTATTCGATTGTAATCTTGTAATTTCTTCAGAGAAGTGCGCACGTTGAAGTTCACGTAATACTAGCGACTCGGCATAGTTGTAATCGGATGCTAAGACATACGGACGTCGCGGTAAAAGCTTCGCGAATCGACAAACGTAAATTACGCTACGCAATAATTTCGACCAAGAGGACAAGCGGTTCGCCAGAGCAATGATTGGAGAA